GAGAGAGAGAGAGAGAGAGAGAGAGAGAGAGAATGATTTACAAAAGATATAATTTTGGGAGACTGTTTACTGTTTGGGGTTCTCACTCCAAATTGGATAACAGAATACACTCTTGTCTCGGTATTCGAGTATTTCGTGGCGCTGAGATGAATCGGCATCTAAGCCGCTGAAGTATAGTGACTTCGTGGCTTTTTGCATTAAAATGGGGTGTCTTGGTTGGTGGGTGCTCCACTGTGGTTTGGTCTTTCTTTTTCTCATCAGACATCTATCGTCCTTATCTCTCCACCTTATCTCTCCACCTTATTTTCTTTGTATGTTACTCTCTTGCAACACCTCTTATCTTCGGAATTTATATGACCTTATTGTGTTGCAAGTTCCGTAAACCCACTTCCGTGGGTGGTTGGTAGGTGCTGGTGTGGTTGGCTTTTTCTTTCCTATCAAACATCTATCGTCCTTATCTCCTAGAGAAGGCATTGCGTAAAACCCCCACTAAGATTTTTTTTAAAAGAAAAGAAGAAAAAAAAAAAAGAAAAGAAACTGAGATGCCCCAAACGGTCTTTGATCTTACCGTAGGGTGTACTATCTTTGGATGGCCTGCGTCCCACTTCCCGGTCCCTGCTGACCTAATCAGGCAGACAAGGGGCAAGAAAGGCATCGTCGTGTAGTGAGAAGAGCGGACCGAGCAGTTTTGGGGGCTGGGGGGAAGGAAGATCGATGACTTGTCCTTTTCTACAGCACACACACGCGCTCACAAGAGTTCACAGACATCCTGGGGCTTCGGTTAGGTTTTTAAAAATTATTTTTATACACATTTTTTTTTAGTAGAAGTTTTACGGCGCTCACAACTGCATAAGGTCAAATGAGCGCCAGAAGATTAGAGGTGTTACAAAAGAGTAACAAACAAAAAAGAAGGGGAGATAAGGATGATAAATGTTTGAGAGGAAAGAAGGAGCAAACCACACCAGAGCATCCGCCAACCACCCACTTGGTTAGATTTGCGGGTTGTTAGTGTTTTTGTTGTTGTTGTTGTTGTTTTATTTGGGGTGATGTGGCTGATGTTTTAGTTTTAATAAGAGTTTTACGGCACTTGCAGCACAAATATGGTCATGTATGCGCCGAACATTAGATGTGTTACTAGAGAGTAACATACAAAGGAAAGAAGGACGACACATGTTGATAGAAAGAAATATTATGTTTTTGTTTTCGTTTTTTATGTGGCTTTTGGTTTTAATTCGGACCCGAAGAAAAGGGCGTGACTTTGTCGACGGTGTTTGTTTAGATTTTGTCCTACTGTTTTTGGCACAGAGTGTTTTATTTGGTGGAAGTAATGCCTTTTCTTTGTTGTTTTATTGAGCAGCGCGTTTGAGAACGCTTTGTTCTTTTGCGTTTGGGTTTTCTTTCTTCTTTAAAACTTTTTTTTTATAGAAGGGGGCACCAACACTTAAACATAAAACAGAATTGTGGTCAAGTAGGTGACCATCCTCCCCACATATCGATGGGCAATATCAGATAGACAGATGTGGGCCAGGGCTGGTTTCCCCACACTTGGTATTTCTCCAAGGACCACAGGGATAGCGTCGTTAACGGTCCGTGTAATGGCCGGTCTGGGGGGAGTACTTACTGCCTGAGGGGTGATGTTGGTGACACACTGGAGGAGGGGAGACACACACGTATATAGGCACACACACGTACAAACACACACACGTACACGCACACGCACACACACACACACACACACACACACACACACACACACACA